GATTTGTGCTTATCTCCTTCAGCGCATTCAAAGCTCGGCATATATGTAATAACGAATGTTAGTAACTAATGAGGTTTACAATTGTTCCAGGTAATTAAAATCATTCTATTGTTTATAAGCTTCTCAATTATTAGAACGTGCAATTGAAAACAACATTTTACATACATGAAATAAAGTGTAACTTTAAGGGCTCGTTTTATTTGTTAGACACAATACTAACGAGAACTAAAACAATACAGACCTGATTTTTCTTTATCAAGTTGATCCCGTGGAAGCCCTTTATTTGTTTTCATTTTAGAAAAAAATATTGTTAGACATTTTAATCAGTATTTGCAGCAAGTATTTTTTATTAGTTGTATTTGATTCAATTTCACCACGTTAGTATACTCACACACCCTTAAACTTAACCTAATTTGTATAATTCTGTTAGTAAGAAAGCAATATTGATCCGCACCCTTCATCTAAAGGTCACAGCTCTTGTCCTCAAATAAACAGGATAGTCGCCGAACATCCCAAAGTAGCTCGCCTTAGGTCGTGCGCGATGTGACCTGGGAACCTCTAAAAAAGGCCGCACTTCGGTGAGTTACAGGTTTTAGTGCAGCGCACTCTCATCAAGATATACGAAAAAAAGTGTAGAAGTATGCCAATGATGCTGCTCACCGCAATATACATCCAGTCGAAAGTACAATCAGTGTTCTCCATCTTATATAGGCGCCACTTCCGATTTTATGAAAAGAAAAATTCAATGCATATCTTTACTTTCGTGACAAAATCTGTTATCTTCAGTATTTTAGTCTTGTTTATTTTATTTTTTAATCCACCTATTACGGCGTTCAGACGTCTGTTGCGTTTTTTTTAACACTTAGCGCGAGATAACGTATTCTAGCTTTCGCCTCATTTACATGATCATCTGGTGCAGAAGATCTGTGTGCTGAAATTTATGCCCGAGTTGAGAAGCCTCCAGGTGTGGCGAATGGGCAGAAGGTCGGTGCGGCTGCAAGCCTGAAGGTACTGCCTTGATACGCAAAGCGTAATACGTTATAAATAAAAAAAATTCTAGATTTTTTTTTGAAAGCGCTGTTGCTCTTTACCAAATTCGGAATGCGTAAGTACCAACATTACGCAGCGGGGCAAACTACCACGAGCTTGCCTCGGCGTGATTCCTTGGAACACGTTGTTCATTGGGATCTTCGGGCCATACATGAACATTTGTTAAATCGCTGCTTTCGTCACACTGCGTCTGTTTCTCAATACGCGGTCACAGGCTAATGGGTATCTTACACAATATCCCAGTGCCCTTTTTGAAGATTGCCCTCTCTGCAACTCCGATTGCACACTTTCGTTCAAAAAAATATCCCCTCTCGTTTATTATATTTCTGGTTTTGGCACGTTAAGCCCCATCAATTATTATCGCTAATGTGATCTCTTTCAGTATTGTGTTAACAAGCACGTGAAGTGAAAGCTGCGCTTGGTATGCCATTTCAGAACGTCTGTTAATGTTCGAGTATTGGTCAGTGTGTACTGAGGTGTAATTATCGCCTACAGCTTATAATCTTCGCAGTTTTTTTTATCAGACGTTTCTGACACACATACGAAAGGCTACGGTGTAAAATGAAAAGGAATCGAAACACTGCTTGTAAAAGATCATTTCCACGTTCAGTGTGTTTAAAAACACAACGGCCGTTCTGATATTTATTCTATAAATACAAGTAGGTCCAGTAGGTATACAGTAAAGTTTATTAACGTTTCTAGATGTCCTCTCGTACAATACATTATGTAGGATGTCGCTGCAGTGTTTTCCTCCCATTCAAGCCGGGCAAGATTCGGCGCGATTACGTCCACGCAATGTGTCTGTCAACTTCAGTTGGTGGAAATCTTACAATGTAGGCACAGAATTCACCCACCTATATCTATGAATGTGGTTATCTTGTACTAAACTGAACTACAACTTGTTTGAGTTCCCGATGCTTCAATATGACCTCCACTCAACATGTTTTCGCGTAAGATTTAGAGCGAAACGATATAATTACACGTCACCCATCTGACATCTCACGACACAGAGAAAGGGAGCAGATTGCCCAGACTAAACAAAGGTTGCATGGACGCAGACAACAGGAACACAGTGCAGGTTAATATCGTCTCTCAAAGTAGGACCTTCAGCGACTCACGATTGATATGGATATGCGCGAGGGCCTCGGAAGGCGGTCGTACGTGGGTCATGTTCGTTGAGTATTTCAAGTGATCCGGGAGACTGACTACAACTAAACGGCGCTGACTACACTGTATTTCTCAAGGAAGTGCCTGTGGGAAGAAAGAATTTAGAAAATAGGAGGTCAAATGTATGAAGACCTTATCCCGGGGCAAGCAAAAATAAACTCGTAGTGGCTCTTAGGCAACGTGAGCGCATATGTATAGGCTTTTGCTTTTAGTACTGCCCCACTATATCAACCCTGTCTATATTTCTTCCTGAGCACACCTTGCTGGTGACGCATACAAAAGGCAGCACTGCTCTTGTTTAAATCAAACGTCGCCGCCACGACTTCGCAGACCAGCGTCGCTTTTAATGCGCTTCACTAAAATGCCTTCCAGCACAGGAGAAATTAACAGTGCTTTAATGAACTGTCCTAGTCCACCAAAAGAAAAAATAATGGCTAACAGTATATCCAGTGCATCACCGTTTAACTGCTTCTGGCACGAAATTACAGTGCCTGCCATTAGAATAATCGCAATCACCATGTGTCTAGTATAATTGCAATGTTCCTGAGGGTGAACATCGGTGAACATCGGTAAACAGCGTGAATGAGTGCATGTAGCTTCTGCGTTTCTGTGGGGAAAAAAATGTTATAGTAAGAGTGCGCTTGGCATAATTTTTCGGTCACATTCTTATTAATCTGCGTGCATGATGTGTGGGTTGTGGCTTTAAAAAAAGATCCCAACTTGCATTGACACTTTTCACACTACATGCTGTAGCTGGCCACGCGTACCGCGAAAATCCTGTCATTCTGTTTTGCAGAAAAGCTTTCGTTTTGACCTATGGCACCTTTGTCAATCATTCTTAAACTCTTGAATTTGTTCATGAAAACATTTATTGTGCTACTATCTAAGAGTGTTTGGTTTGCCGTGTACGAAATTGCCCGCGATTTGTTGAATCTGGTGCTTCAGTAATAATAATGACTAACTCCAACAGCTCCGCAAGGGAGCTTGCGTCATATGTCATATTGATATGCGGTAGTAAAAAAGTTATATTGGTTCCCTCATAATGAAAAAAGTCCCTGTCGACCTCGGCATTTATAAATATGTTGTTTAAAGATGGACACTTCGTTCCAGCGGTGTTGAAACGTCGATTTCACTGCGCACACACTGCAGGGCATCTCAGTACATTATCATTTGCTGTATGCAGAAATACGAAAATAAATGGTCATTGAGCTTTGCTCGAATCATTCCGTCGCAATTATTGTTACATCAAGATGAAATTTTCTACCATGTCTGCAATCAATCGAAAACCTTTAAGTTTCTACAGCATGTAACCCCTATTCAAACTACGAGGTGTTACCGTGATCTACTCACTATTCCACGTATAGCAAATGTCCAAGTCATTTGATGTCGAAGATTCCGTGAAACATCCATCAAAGAAAGAGAAAATCAGCATAAGTTCTATTGTTAGCTAAGGCGCCATAGACAACCAAAGAACTACGAGAGCTATTCAAAACGCTTAATGTTTCTATCACAGCAAGCTTTAGTTCTACCAAGTCCTACATATGCACACAAAAAGCAAACAGCCTACGCTGTTTAAATTATATAGAGCTCAAAAGGGAAATGCCGAGAAACCCCCTCCCTCAAATTTCGAATTTGGTTTTATTGACATTACTTGAAGTTATGTTGGCGTACAAACAAGGCACCGACTACTCTTTAGCTCTTCGATGTGTCTAAAATAAGCACATGGCGTCTCAGTTCCCAAGCATGACAAATCTGCAGCGCATGCAATATATAAATTAGCATAACTGCCAGAAAGTAACAGTCAAAGGAACATGTTCTCCAATATATATATATATTTATATATATATATATATATATATATATATATATATATATATATATATATATATATATATATATATATATATATATATATATGGCGGCGTTAAAACAAAACACAGCCTCAATGCACAAGTAATGGCCAAGAGTGCCTCTTTCTCCAAGAAATGTTTCAAGAGTGAGAATGAATTCATTAGAAGGCAGAGAGCTCGGCCGAAATGTTTCAATGCTTTAAAAGAACACTTCTGCAAACATCTTGTTGGTCAAGGCAAGAGACCAAAAATTTCTTTCAAACTACTGGTCTGTGGTCTAATGTCATTAACAATAACTGGAGTTGGCGTCTTCATGTGTCGTGGTGTTGGAATTCTAGAAGGAGGGGATCTATATTCCTTTCATCTATGAATCTAGAGTCACGTTCAGGTGTTTCAGGGTGGTCAATTCTGTGCAAGAAATGTTTGGTGTAGACGATTCATTGGTGAACAAGAGTTTTCACACATTTCTCAAAATATAGTGGAATTTCAAGTTCAATAAGTTGATCTGTATGATATAAAATATATTATAAAATTTTTAGAATTGTGGTCAAACCACGTATTTCTGCACGTATTGGAAGTTTTTGGCAATGAAATGCTGCGCAATTCATTTTTGTACATTGTAATAAAAACCGTATCAGATTCGGAACATGCTTAGTGAATAATGGAAGCAAATATCCGACATTCTCTGCCAGTGTCACTGAGCTCTACAACCTCCAATGTTTCTCGCACTAAACGTTATTCCACATTTAGAGTGTTCGTTTAACGAGAACGTTTTCGAATCAACATTCTCCAACACATCTAGTTGTGATAACAGCTTCATGGTTAAGTAGGCCTACACTTCTCACTCGCATCTGGACTGAAATTGGAGTGCCGCCGCGAATGTAACTATTAGCGAATGACTGATGGCGTCGCTAAATGTGGCTGTACTTGCAGGCGGCAGACCTGAGCTGCGTTCCACGTACTCGGAGGAAGTAGTGGACATGAAGGACCTGGCCAACACGGCCGAGTGCATGGCTCGCTGCGAGGACGGCATGCATCACTCCGCCTCGCAGATGAACAGCCGCTTTCCACCTGCCGGACAATCCATCTATGCGCAGAGGCCTGGTAAGGTCAGCACCACACTTCACCCATACACGCGTGTTCATCTAAGTCGCTCTATACACGCATGCAATCGAGACGGAGAGAGTTTTCATTCGCCTTGTGAAGTGATTATATAGCGGCAAAATGCATACACGGCCTGGGATAAAAAGGCGGCTGTTCCTGCGATAACATATTTGTTAAACATAACCGATGAGTTAATCGCGACAATCTTCCGAGTTCTTCCGTGCGCTCTTTTAAAGGCCTAGCAGTAAACTATGTGGGTACGCCATTTTCAAAACGGAGGAAAACGCAAAGGCCCAAGGACGTTCCGCTGGTTGGTCGGCTACTCAGTAAAGGAAATACGATACTGCTGTTTCATTGAGACTTCTATAAGGCGTATTTGCCCGCAGTTCTTGCCACAAAGCCGCTTATACGTTCTTGTTGCCAGTATTCCCGAGGTGATCTTACTGGCTCGTCCGGCGGCAATATTTCGTGCATGGAGGCCGGCCACGTGCCCTGCTTCTGACGTAATGACGGGAGATATCGCACCCCTAATGTCCGCGCGATGGTTCACCCGCATTTCCAGAATGCGGTGGCTTTCAAGCGACCCGCTATAAGCCGTCTGGAGGAACAAATTTCCTGAGTTCACCAGCCTGACAGCTGATTTGTTGCGGACGATATATAGCTGTGCATTTCTTCCCATATGACCTCCTCTTTCCCCCCGCACTCCCGCCGTGCCTCATCACTTCCAAACGTGCGCTGCCCACTATGCATGGCCTTCTACATCGAACGCGTCGACGTTGCTCACCCACCTGTGCGTCGCCCAAGCTCCGATCTTGTGCGCACAGACGGCTGTAGCGGCGTACCGAAAGGAGAGGCAGGAACTCATCATCAGCGAGCAGCACGCGCAGTGCATGTCTTGAAACTTCTGAACTCTGTGATCGCCTTCGGTGAGCAGCCATCTTTGTGTATTAGACAGATGATGTACATGTTGTGGGCAGTCATTGCGTTATGGGCAGAGTCGTTCGCGCGCTTGCATGAGTCAGAGAAAGAGCAATCAAAACCGCCAAAAATGTAGTCATCACTCACGTCACAGTGAACACGCTGCTTCTCCTCAGATCAGCCAAGCTAAGAAGAATCGAGGTCATTACTTTTTTGTTTGTTTTCGGTGAATATGTTATAGTATATATAGTTCCGATTGCTGTTTCGTCTGCCAAAGCTTTCAGCGTAACGTTCATGACGGTTTCTACGCTCCAACTGCGTCACTCGTGCGTAAAATGGGTTGTGGTGCTTTGCGCGCATGTTACGTTTCAGTAAGAATATCGTCACGTGGGTCCTGCGAGAAAGACGAAGGCGACAGTGCATACGTGCATCTGCACGCTTTTATGCAGAAATCAACAACGAGAAAGACGAGGAACTCTCTGGCGCGCCGTAAATAAAAAGACCTACCCGCATTTGTTTTCTCAGCTTCTTTAAATACGACCTCTGTCTTCACGTCGCGACACTGGTGGAGGTGCGGGGGCCAGCAACATGATGCAGGAAAGCGTTGTTCGGGACCGTGCACCCAGTCCGGAGACTCAACATCTTGTTAAGACTACAGTACACTGATTCAGCCGGCGCCTACTAGGCTTAAGTCCGGAACTCTTGACTGCATCTCATCTTACCAACATGACGGCCCCTTCAACGTCTGCGAATCTTCCTCCTGCCCAGACGACTCTTCCTTCCCAAGTAACTTTTGAGCCTCCTCGTGTTCCCAAAGTCTTTCGTGAAGAAGCGTATGAGGATGTCGAGGACTGGCTCGATGAGTTCGGGCGGACTGCTGTGGTAAATCGCTGGAGCGCACAAGAGAAACTTGGCCGTGCCCACTTCGCAAAGGTAAATAGCGCTCGCACATGGTACGAGAACAGAGAGCCTGTTTTCCAAACCTGGGACAATTTCCGCCAAAAGCTTCTCGAGACGTTCCCGAGTGCGGACCGACGGGATCTCGCACAACAGATGATTGAAGCCCGCATGCAAAAGCCGAACGAAAGCGTCGCCATGTTCGCTGAGAATATGACCCGTCTATTTCACCGCGCTGACCCTGACATGCCCGAGGCAAGGAAAGTTCGTCGCCTGATGCGGGGAGTTAAGGAACCGCTTTTTACCGGCCTTGTACGAAATCTGCCAACAACAGTGGATGAATTATTAAAGAGGCGACTGTCATCGAGCGGGCGCTCCGGCAACGATGCCACCACTTTGACCGCCTGCCGGGCCAAACGCCTGTTGGTGCCGCAGCTCAAAACGCTGCCGTTTCCGAAAGCTCTCTACGGCAAATGATTAGGAAAATCCTGCGGGAAGAGCTGCGGGCCCTCGGGCTTCAGTCTACCGAGTCTCCAGTTGCTTCTGTTGCGGAAATCGTGCGCCACGAACTACGGCAAGCCTTTCCATTGCCGGCGCCACCACCTGAACCACATCCGTTGACCTATGCTAATGCCGTCCGCCATCACCTGCCTGCCCCAGAAGAAGCACCCTTTCAGCCAAAGCCCGTTACCTTGCCTTGGTGGCAGCGGGAACCTGTGCGGCGACCATCAGTACGCCGCACCGACTTGTGGCGCACTGCCGACCGTCGACCCCTTTGTTTCCACTGCGGTGAACCAGGCCACATCTCGCGCTACTGCCGTCATCGAGAAGCCCACTTTGAAAACTTTTCTCGCCCCGCTTCACTTTATTTTGAACACCCTCGTGACCATGGCGCTGATCACCTGCCGACACACCAAGCTTCTTCACCACGTCGTCCCTGGCAGTCTCCCTCTCTTGCACGAGATCACACTTTTCCGAATTGCCAAAGTTACGCTGACGCTGTCAGAAACCGCTCCCCAAGCCCATGCCAGGGAAACTAACTGCCGCGACGTCCGGGTGCAAGGTTGCCGATCGCTGAGACGCCAAAAAAACCCCTTTGCTTCTACACAAAGACGACATGACGATGGTGATGACGAAGACGACGGCAGCCACGAGTACTAACGCCGATGAATTTGTACGTGCCGACCTTAGCTCTATTATAGACGGACACTACGAAACAGCACTGGTTGACACTGGTGCTGACTTCTCTATTATGCGACAAGAGCTCGCCGACCGCCTTGAGAAGGTCAAGAGGCCGTGGAGTGCGCCGAGCAAAAGGAGTGCTGGTGGACAGCTAATGACACCAACCGGTAAATGCACCGCTCGGCTCGTAATCAGTGATTCGAGCTTCGTCGCCACTTTTCTCATTTGACCGGGCGGTTGTAAAGAGCTGATTTTGGGTATGAATTTTCTGCGAGAGTACGGTGCTGTCATCAACATTCCAGAACGTATCGTCACCTTTTCCGCCCATCCTTACGTCGACGTCGCCACTGAACAACTGCAACGTTTACGTGTAGCCGATGATGTAATGCTGCCGCCGAGATCTTGCTTCCTTGTGTCGGTGTTATGTGAATGGCCGTGCCATAACGAGGTGATAGCGGAGCGAATAGTCACGCTATTGCTTACGCAAGGTGTTCCCATAACGAGAGGCATTCTGGCAGGGACTGATGTGCGGGCTGAAGTGCTCCTCGCCAACTTCAGCAACGAGCGCCATCACATCGAGAAGGGCACCGCAATTGCCTACTACGACGATGTGGACCAAGCCAGAGATTGCTTCGCTTTGCAACCGGACGACGCGACCGACTTAGCCTCGACGCCTTTGTCTGTCGACATTTGCTCTACCCTGTCACCCTCGGATAAACAGCGCCTACTAGAGCTGATACACCAGTTTTAAAATCGTTTTTCGTGCATGTCGAAGGTCAAGCAAACACTGACCCGGCACCAAATCATTGTTGAAGAAAATAAGAGACCGATCCGGCAAAACCCATACCGTGTGGCTCCGAAAGAACGCAGAGAGATCCAAAAGCAAGTTCAGAAGATGCTCCAAGATGACGTAATACAGCCTTCCAAAAGTCTCTGGGCGAACCCCGGCTGCGGCGGCTGCATTTTCGATGGAGGCGAAATGTTGTAGGCCCGTGGGCTCATATTTCGGTGCACGTTAAAGAACCCCAAGTGGTCAAAATTTCCGAAGCCCTCCACTACAGCGTCTCTCATAATCATGTGTTGGTTTTGGGATGTTAAACCCCACATATCTATCTAAATGTTCCTGGGCCTCCCCCGTGATATTGTTTAAAAAGAAAGACGGCAGCTTGCGTTTCTGTATAGATTACCGCAAGATAAACAAGTCACGAAGAAAGACGTCTACCCACAGCCATGCATAGATGACTCTCTTGATAAGCGGCGGCATGCACGCTATTTCTCATTAATGGATCTGCGAAGTGGCTATTGGCAAATAGAGGTCGACGAGAGAAACCGTGAGAAAACTGCCTTCGTGACGCCCGACGGTCTTTATGTGCTTCCATTTGGGTTATGCTCAGCGCCAGCCACTTTTCAACGTTTAATGGACACTGTGCTATTAGGACTGAAGTGGCAGACATGCTTGATCTATCTAGATGACGTTATTGTCTTTTCAGCTACAATCGAGGAACAGCTAAGTCGTTTATTCGCAGTTCCACAAGCTATACGTTCGGCTGGCCTGACTTCGAAACCAGAGAGGTGTCATTTTGGTTTTAGCGAACTTTGCTTCTTAGGCCACGTAGTCAGCCACGAATGTGTTCGACCTGACCCGGGCAAAATCGACGCTGTCGCAAAGTTTCTCGCACCGCATGACAAAAGAGCAATGAGACGCTTCTTGGGCTTCTGCGCTTACTACGGAAGATTCATCGCCAATTTTTCGTCTATTACAGCGCCTTTCACGCGGCTCACACAAGAGGATGCCCCCTTTCTTTGGAGCGAAAAGGAACAAACTCCATTCAACAAATTGCGCTAACGCCTCCAAACACCTCCGGCTCTTGCGTACTTTGACCAGGAAGCGCCAACAGCACTTCACACCGACGCAAGCAATGTAGGCCTGGGCGCCGTACTGATACAATGGCAAGATAACTCCGAGAAAGTGATAGCCTATGCCAGCAGAGCTCTCTCTCTCGCAAGGAAGAGAACTACTCGACTACCGAGAAGGAGTGCCTCGCCGTGGTCTGGGCGGCTCTCCAATTTCGACCGTATCTGTACGGCCGCTCATTCAAGGTCGTCAGCGATCACCGCTCGCTTTGCTGGCTCACTAACTTGAAAGACCCATCCGGTTGGTTAGCACGCTGGAGCCTTCGGCCTCAAGAGTTTGATATGACCATATATTTATAAATCAGGGAAGAAGTACACCGACGCACACTGTCTCCCGTGGTCACCCGTTGAGCCTGCCGCTATTAATGACGAGTCTATGGACGCTGCATTCTTGGGAGTCTTAAACGCGGCCACGATTTCACAAGAGCAGCGCAGTGAGCCTGACCTGCTTTCGCTTATCGACTTCTTAGAAGGACGACATGAAGACGTGCCGCGAGTTTTTGCGAGAGGAGTACCATCTTTTTGTTTAAGGAACGACGTCCTATACAAGAAAAACTCTTCTCCCACCGGCAGCCCATACTTGCTCGTCGTGCCTGCATCACTGCGAAAAGAAATTCTGGAAGCCTGCCATGATGAAGTCACCTCCGGTCATCTCGGTTACACTCGAACATTGTCCCGTCTGCAAAACAGTTACTACTGGCCGAACCTACCTGCTGCTGTGAAACATCACGTCGAAACATGTGCCGACTGTCAAAGACGCAAAGCACTACCCGGCAGGCTTATTACATTCCGTTCAAGTACCAGCAAAGCCATTCGCCCAAATCAAAATGGATTTTCTGGGCCCATTCCCAACTTCTACTGAAGCAAACAAACGGATCATTGTCGCCACCGACTACTTGTCTCGCTACGCAGAAACTAAAGTCATGCCGAGGGCCACAGCAGCAGAAGCGGCTCATTTCTTCATAGAAAACGTCGTCCTTCGGCACGGTGCTCCAACAGTTCTCATCACGAATAGAGAAACTGCGTTCATGGCAGAACTTTTGGAGTCGGTTCTCAGGCTCAGCGGTACAGCTCACCAGAGAACAACGGCGTACCACCCACAAACGAACGGACTAACAGAGTGGCTTAATAAGACCCTCGCAGACATGTTCTGCATGTATGTCGACACAGAACATAAGAACTGGGACGAAATCTTGCCTTATGTGACCTTCGCCTATAATACTGCCCGGCAGGAAACTACCGGAATGACGCCGTTTAGTTTAATACACGGCCGTGAAGTCACTACAAAGTTGGACGATATGCTGCCGCACGAGTGTGACGACACTCCCACTGACGCCGAAGAATTTGGTCAGCGCGCCGAAGAAGCCAGACAGCTAGCCCGCGTGCGTATTTGTCACCAGCAACACAAAGATGCGAAACGATACGACCTACGACATAAATTGGTAACCTACAAACCAGGCGACAAGGTATGGGTCTGGATCTTAATACGTCGACGCAGACTTTCAGAGAAGCTATTACGACGATACTTCGGCCCATATAAAGTCACCCGACGATTGAACGATATCAACTATACGAAGTTATTCCTGACGGCGATTGCAGTTCCAGTCGCCGAAACTGCTCACCCGAGATCGTGCATGTCATCCGGATGAAACCCTACTTGTCCAGCTAACTCTCGCTTGTCCTGTGGGTGCCAGTGAATATGTGCGTTTTTATATGTAGAGCACCTTGGCTGCACATCGGTACGATGCAATTTTTGGAGGGAGTCAAATGTCACGTGCGTCCCACGAAAAAGACGAAGGTGACAGCGCATACGCGCATCTGCACGTTTTTATGCAGAACGCAACAACGAGAAAGACGAGGAACTCTCTGGCGCACGGTAAATTAAAAAGACCGACTTGCTGCTGCTTTCTCAGCTTCTTCAAATACGACCTCTGTCTTCACGTCGCGACAATATTCCATTGGAAAGTGAAATAATGAATTGATCCTTTGTTTCGGATGTTCCCAAAAATGGACAGTAATACACGTGAATGATTACTTTTTTCTTGGTTACTATATGACCGAGTGATTTCGAAACAGCGAACGAACTCAGTGCGAAAGTGGTGGACGGACCTTTGAAACTGCGAACTTTTTGCCACTTATGTTTTGAGGCAACGTATCAAATATGTTTGCCCACACTCTAGTTTTGTCGCTTTTCATACTAGCACCGCTGCACGTGCTGCTTGTATGTCGCACAGTCGTCCCAACTTAATTTTATTTCTGTAGCTAAACCTAAGCGCACAAATGATCTATGATACAATCGCATCGTATAGCATGCTCATATCCCTCCAGTTGCAAAATTCTTAAAGCGATGGCATTAAAGAGCTCGTTCCGCAAATATTCCTGCGTCAGCGTTGGCGTCGTTCATTGTTAGCGAAAAACCCAGCATCTGGTCCATGACCCAAAAACCTAGAAGGATTCAAATAAAATAAATATTAAAAATTTCTGTGTCCAAGTGTGGATCGAACCCAGGCATCTGCGTGACAAGCAGGGGCTCGATCACAGAGCTACGATGCTTTCTTTTTTTTTCTTGTGGTATTTATTACAAATGTTCGTAATATACTATAGAGAACAAAATACTGAAGTGCGCTTGCGTACATTAAGCGTTGCACTGAATAAAGTTTCAAATAGTTAGGTCTTCTAAAAGGGAATCACAGCAGCGCATTTCGCGAACAGTGGATACCAGTCCGGCTGGAACTCTAGTTTATTTTTGTATCAACAATAAATTGCCGCCTGTGTGAGTTGACAGAAATTATAGAACACTGTGTTATTAGCTGTAAGAATGCAAACCTATTTTAGGACTTCCTGCAAATGACTTCAAAATAACAAAATAATTTTAATTCTTATAGCACATGTTATCTCATGCCACCCAAAAGCAAACCTATGCCTCGGTGTTGACATGCCGTTACTAGTGGGAACACACACTTTATAGAACAATCGCATGTTAGACAAGCAAATGGAGCCAATACTATCGTAACGGTTGAATTTCGTACAAATGGCTCTAGAGCTAAGGGACTTTGCCGCGATATCTGCTTTTGTCAGGATGCGCTCTACATAGGAATTCATATCTAGGAATCATAGTGTTTTTTTCCAAAGCAGTTTAAACAGATATTGCGGCTCTAAAATAAATGTTGTGAACTAATGAATTTAGAGCCAGGATTTATGTTTAAACTACTTTGAAAAAAAAACACAATGTATGAATGTCACGTCGTGGATGGAGTTTCCGTGACACATCATGGCAGAGGCGTAGAATTGCGCCAGGTGTCAAAATATGTGGATTGAGGAATGAGCGGATGTTATAAAGGCCAAATCTTTAGAAAGCGCTGAAACATATTTAACCATCATGACCAGCAGAACTATCAACAAAGTGAGCAGCTGTGTAGCTTTGCGTGTTGCGCTTAGGACGTGTTTAGGGCCTTTCGCTGATTCGCGAAAGGAATAACTAGGGCGTAGTGGACACTAAACAAGTACAGTGTTGATTTTTATGAAAGTGAACACGGCGACGCGTGGCCTGCGTGATCCGGCGGCTGCTGGCAGCGCGTTCAAGTGGGAGTGGTAGCAACCACAGTCTCCTCTCGCGTCATCTCGTAGCGAGAAAAACAATCATTTGTTGCTGAATATAGAACCACAAGCTCTCGCGTAATCGCTTTTTAAGAAGGAGGACTCGCAATCTTGCCGCTGGTTCAATATCTGTAATTACAAATATGATGTGCAAGGATGTGTAATTACAAATATAAGAACGTTTTTCGTTCTTGTTTCTTTACAGAAAATGTAAGACTTTTCTTTTGCGTCTCCTTTGTTATTATCGAATTCAATCTAGAAATGTAATGCATATTGGCGGAATCAAATCTTACTCACGTATAACTTCAACCATACGTGGAGTCGAATCAGACGCGTTAGTACGTTTAGGAAGTCCCATCCCGGTGAAAATATTCATTCTCCTTTATGGGATTTGCGTAGGACATCTGTGTAGGACATTTGTGGCCTCCATAATATATTGATAAATGACACCACAGAAAAGTTCGATGCCACACTTGCTATATATATATATATATATATATATATATATATATATATATATATATATATATATATATATATATATATATATATATATATATATATATATATATTCGCAACAACTGTTAAAAAAAACAGGTGGTCGAAATTTCCGGAGCCCTCCACTACGGCGTCTCTCATAATCATATTGTGGTTTTAGGACGCTAAGCCCCACATATCAGCTTCGCGACAAAGTTTTTTCCTCACTTCGTACGCGCAGTAGTGGAAACCGAGGACGACCGGCACCCGTACGCGATGCCGTACGACGTGCTGCATGGCGGCGGCGCGGGTGCAGAAGGGGCCGCGGCGGAAGACGGGAACGGCGCGGACGGCGGCGCGGGATGCCAGAACCATCTCGACGGCAGGAGCACGCTCAAGAGGCGCTCCGACCTCAAGGACCACCGCTCAAACAACATCTACATCAGCCGCCAGGTGCGTCCGTTACACTGCCATGCTATGGATGGAACTCGCGGTTGCACTCAATAGTGTTCGGATGCGCTCAGGATCGTTGTATTCATAAGGCCATCCCTCCCTTTTTTTTTTTTTTTGAAATGTGCCTTGGAACTTTAGTTGATAAAGAATGAAATATTTCAATCCGAATAAAACGCAAAACAAAGAAAATTTGAAAGTAATAGTGCACTTTCGCCGAGAAAATATGCAACAATCGTCCTTGCAAAAATTTTCATGCAACATGATGCGTAATAATCCTAACTTGTTAAACCTAAGCTATTAAAAGTGTGTCGCTGGACGTCACGGAAACACCGAGCCAAGAAAACGAGTCGTAGTAAGTCTGCAGTTTTTTGGCAACTGTTTATGAGTACAACAGATAAAAACCCGGTGCCTTCATGTGGATCTTCTCTCATGTGATGTTTTGTTCATTCGTTAAAAGGTTTGCGATTACCAATGCAGTTTTCTTTATTTACTTTAGAACTCATGATTTAGGACGTAAAGCTTATACTTCTGCTTTTATATGACTGTTGAATGATACACTGATGCTTCAAAATTGCATCTTCGTTTGATCACATCTTTATATTTCATGATCAAATCAAGGTCACAAGTTAATGAGCGCGTTTTCTTCTGTGTTCATAGGCGCATTATTTTTGTTGTATTAGAACCGTTTATGAACAATGCTCAGAAAATGCCTTCTTTAATTCAGTCACTCCAAAATGTAATACAGTAAAAGCTCGTTAACTCGAACTGGGCCAATTAGAATTTATGGTTAATTCGAATTGATGCCCTGGCCATGCACACCTCGGGGTATTACTGTGGAGGGAATATTCGCGATAACTCGCACGCGTCGGTATCTACAGCAGTTAATTGGAACTGGCAGCCCCCTGGCTTTGATCGGTCCTTGCAAAGGACGGCTCAGAGAGATCACAATGGGTTGCAAAAGCAAACAAAGACGAATTACCAGAAATGCACAACAATAAAACAGCAGCGTTTCTCCCCAAATGAGGATTTGGACGCTGTGCTTGAGCTCTTGGCCAAGCTGCAAACGATACGTATGTAGTCACGATAAAAAAAAAGCAGAAGCAAATGCAAAGTTAGGATCACGTATTTTGATTGCGCAAACTCTCATAAAAATGAACGTGTTTTGGAGCATTATAGCAACATGTATTTTGTAATAAAGCTCGCGGCTTGCATGAATGCATGATGGTGCTTATTTCTAGTGCAACAGGCGTGTGATCAACTAATTTTGTTGGCTGTTAGAACTACACGAGTTCAATTGACAAAATCGTCTGCCACAAACGCGTAGTATTGCCTATTTCGCGAGAAGGAGCCCAGTGGTGTTTTGTTTGGGTTCTGTTCATGCAGTGTGGCACTGTGTTCGCTCATTCGAGCTCCCTCCCGCTAATTAGATCTTCGTTTAATTTGAACATTTTTATTTTCCCCTTTAAATATTAGTTAGCGAGCTTTTAGTGTAACTGCATAAGGCAGCTGGTGCGCAAGAAACGTCTGCGGAAGCGCCAAGTCCAAAACGTAATTCGAAGCATGAGAACTTGTCTCGCATTGCAAACCTACACACGCTATCTTTCTTTCTTCACCTCCCTATCAAAAACATTCGATTGTGAACGGCCCTGTGAGCGAAACATACTGCCTGCAGAGACAGGTCGATGGCATAAGGATGGCCGACAGCGTATCAACCCACAAATCGCTCGAGTTGCTCCGTGACAAGGTCACGAAGCCAGTGATGCGACTGTGTCAAAGAAAAAGAAAATGAAGCTTGCAGGCTGTCTTGCCGCAATCGGAGCGTGCGAGCCAATGGATCGATCCCGCTGGCTTTCTCCAGCCCGGCAGCAGAGCAGGCGCTGAACCGTTAATGGGCGAGGCGCGATAGACCCGTGCGTCTCGCCGGGCCTCGCCTGCAGAAGCTTGGCGCTAATATATCTCAAAAGGTGAAGGGTGAAGGCTATATACCGAGCGATCACCACGGGGATGACGAAAACTTCCGCTCGGTTAGCGGCATGGCGCTGTTCCAAGCACGATCAGATTTCCCCTGTAATTCGTCACGTATGGGGCCAGCGGCCAAAACGATCTTCCGGTCGCCCTGATTCGCGCAAGGTTTGGACGGCAGCTGACCGCAAGTAAACTGTTTGTGGTTGATATAGGGTGAAATACTGGAAGGTGCAGTTACTGTGCCTCCCGCGCTCCATTGACAGCCTCGGCTTGACACACTGCGTCAAGCATCTTTTCTCGTACTAATCCAGCGGCAACGCAATGCCGGCTGCTCTACGCGAAGGAAGAATAAAAAACAAAGGTTCGGGACGAGAGTGCCGAGAGGCCTTTCAGAGGTTGTAGCTCTGGTCAACAGCAACAACAAAAAAAAAACGGTGACTAGCAAGGCTACATCACCCAAACCCATTGAAGTACCTTAGAAAAAGTAAACAGGTACCCTTCAATATCAAGGACTTATAAAAAAAGACATATAGTACTTGAAATGTGTATTCAAAGAGGATTTCTCTATGTAGTTTTTCTTTTTTTTAAGTGCAATGCACAACGAGCGGCGTTTTGCATTTAACAGCATTTTCGACTTGAATGCAGCCGCGTTTAAGATCTCTGATTGTGTGTTCTGTAGTTTAGAAATTTATTACAATAACAATTTCTCGACGTACAAATGCTTTCTTTAGAGAAATCTTAAAAGATTAACGTCAAGGTGCTTGCCTCGCGAATAACGTCTAGTTGACAGGAAGTATGAAATGCAATGTGGACTCCTTCTGGTGAACTTTTTTTACAGAAGCAAACCTTGCACCCTTAGTATACGTCTAATTCCCCTTTAATCATTGTGCGAATGCGTCCCAGTGGATGGGCGTAGACGTCAGTTATGGACACTTTCTCTAGTTTTCTCGAAGTATGAAGTATTTCACCTCGGTAGTAATGGTGGCCGTTTCTTTATTTTATGCATCTTGCACCCTTTGACGTTCTCTTGTGCCCGTTTTTGATCGTTCTTTCTCTTTTTCCTTCCCCGCTTTCTCTCTTTGCTCGCTTCCTATCTTTTCTAACCTTGGCCTACCCCGGTGTTTCATGCTGCTGCTCCCTTGGAATCGTCGGCACAGAGCCTGTCAAGGACGAAACCACGAGAGCGGCCTTACGAGTCTCTCATGGTGAACATGAACCCGTACCCAGCGGACGGCACCACAACGTCGACGCTCTCTAGAAAGGACCAGGAAGACATTCAAGTGTGACCCTTGGACGGACTTTGAACTTCGGCAGCTGCTCCTTCTGCTTCATCCCGCGGTTCACTCAGAACTCTGTGCTCACAGAAACAGTCGCCTAATGAACTCGACGCACCCGTTGAGTGAAGTGCAGCGTTCGGGTTCCATCCCCCAGTGGCACAAATCATCATCCGGCTTCGGTTTGCTCCGTCCTTGGGGGTGGACAACAAAAACAACATACGACTTCCCTTAACGGCACCAGAAAATCATTCTCTGATGCCATTTGCTGCGCAATGCCGCAGGAGAAACGCAAACATTCTCCGATCTTTTTTTTTCAGGATAACGTTGGTAATCGCAGGAATCCTTGGACATATAGCGGTGTTTGTGTTTCAGAGATGTGCTTAGTTATGTTAGTGAACTAACGTGCAACAGGCCATTCAACGCATACAGGGAAACAAGTGTAATCCACCAGAGATCGTTCAGGCGAACGCAAGTTCCCATAAAGATAAGTGTTTCCCAGATACAAATGTTCTTGTCATTCGTTCTCCATTCGAGCAAAATATGACGAAACTTTCCCCACAACAAAAAAAAAAGAAATTAAGAAGTCGAACAGAAGAATATACCGCGATGGTGCAGAATTTGGAAGGAATCAAAACTGTTTATCACATAAAGCATCTCGCGTTGGTCGTACTGCTCGATTCGAGTCATATGCCTCTTCCGCGCAAAAAAAAAAAAGAGGCGGGTAAAGCCTTAGCATCAAACCGCTGGCCTTGGGACAAGACGTCGGGGCCACCAGATTCAAGGCTCATATAATAGAAATAGGACTATCAAACGCTGTGTCTCCACCTCTGGCATATTTTTGTCCCTGCCACACCATCCGACATTCACTATATATATGGTGGTTCAGCAATTCGCAGTTTATTTGAAATGATAAACTTTCTCGCTCTTTCCTCATAAGTGAAAGCTCTTGTCCCGTTTTCTTTAATTAAGTTTATCTACAGTAACTCCTACTCTCCAACACATGTAAAGCTCTCGTGTTTTCCCACTCCACCTTATGGCAGTTAAATCGCAACACCCTTATTCGAAGCTTCATATCGTCTTAATCGTAGACAATGTGGCAGAACATTCGGCTCTCTGAAGCTGACGGTTTGTTTATTTGTCATTTCCATCGCCACAACATAGAGGAAACAAGGCTAGTTTTACAGCACTTTGTTTTACTTTTTGCTTTACTTAATCCACCTCAGTTTCCTGACTATCTTAAAACCAGCACAGTTTTCTCGTCTTCCATACAAGAATGTTAACACACATTTTTCGAGTCCCCAGTTTTCTTCTGATCCCCGGTGCTATGGCAAGACTAACAAAAACTTCATTGATTGCGAATTTTCCCTGCGTTGTATCACACATTTATTTTTATACCGAGAGCGAGGAAATAATGAACCCGATCAGACTTTCACGGGTCTTGCGGTATAAAAAAGAGCAGAAGTAACTTGCCTCAATCGAGCGCACCTTGATCCAAAGTTTCAAAGCACCAGAAAACCTAACCTAAAAATTACAAAATAATCTTTATCCTGAAAGCCAATCATGATGGCCACATGCACTGCACCGTATACTGTCCTGCACCGTCCCGAAAGCCCAAGATTAATCGTACTCTCATGATAGCGCTCATCGGTACCGCTATTGCGCGAAATACCTGACAAAGGAACTTGATTTCGTTTCCCGAGATGTTCGTGCACAACGTACATTTGAGAGAGAGAGAGATAAAATAATTCAACTTGCGCACAAACAAATGGCAGTCTGCAAATGGGAAAACAACCCAAGATGATCATTTTCTGCGGGAAAAAAAAAATATGCGTGCGAGTAGCCATGGTGCCACAACCCACTGCCAATAATCCTACGTCATCTCTGGTATTTACACCCGCGTAGTAGAACTGCTTGCCAGAAACGTACGTGAACAAAATGTTCTACAGTTGTAATATATGACCGTTTTATTTTATCTCATTTCTCGCCAGGTTTCGCACAGCCAGCGAGTAAGAGCGAGCTAGCTGTGCGAGTTGATCTGAGTGAGCCAACGGATGAGTGAATCTGTGGATCCACCATGTTTTCCTTCTTGTGAAAGTGTTTCCGCCATCGTGAGCTGTGATCTCGAACAGTATTCAAGGGCGCCCTGCTCCTCCCCTCCGCGTGTGCCGCGGGCGTCGTTCCCACGATTCACTACTTCGTCATTCACGTTCGCCGTGTGTCGAACGTGTCGTTTCGGTTATCGGCGCCTGAACACTAATCAAGTGAGCGTGCCCAAGGACTTTGGAACCGGAAACCATTCGATTACAATGTGCAGCCACGTGCTTTGAACTGTATTGAGTTACGCTACATATAGTTACTTTAGAGAAACTATTTCCCACCCCTGTTAATATGCTCCCTGAAGATCGAAGATGGTTTTATATGCGGTTGAAAGACATAATAAAGATATATTCGACAAGGCGTTTATGCTTGTTTGACCTTGTGCTACGTTTCGATGCAGTGACTATGTGCCTCATAGACACTACAACGAATGTGGTAGCACACACACAACCTCAAGAACGCTTTCAAGAGCCATAAAAGTGCCCATCATGCTGATGAGAAGAGTAAAGATTTTTGTTTTATTAACTTTTCATTACAAGCATTTATTGCTAAGAAAAGTTGGTGTCACGCCTAGTGATAACATGCACAAATATGAAAAAAGTGCTTGATGACACATTCTTGAGCGTGCAATATACGGGTAAACGAATGCCTGGTATTCGATCTTAAGTTGAATGAGCACGTGCGGCTCAACACACGTCCGCCCGCAAGCGTTAATGAGTCAATTTGTTCGTGAAGAAAGGCTTAACTAAGTAGTAGTTTTTCATTTAGGCAAGATTAACGTCGATTGCAGGAGAGTGGCATTTTAAGGTGTTGTCATGAATAGCACATATTAGCAGCAGCAGCAGCAGCAGCAGCAGCTAAATTTTAAATCTTGGCCATCATTCATAGCACTTTGAATACCTGTGCCTCATGTACGCATGTTTTTCCTCGCTTTTTAAGCTACAAGGTGCACAGTTACAATCATTAATTCACACCAATGCTCTCAGAATGAAGTAGTTTGTCACAATATTACTGTTTCTTCCAGACTAAGGATCACTAAAGGGTATCTGCCCTCGAGTCCAAAAAAATTCTGCTAAGTTCCAACCAAGTAAGTTTATCAAGGTGCGCCTTCTCAATGTATTCTATTCTATCTTGCGTATGAATTGTCGTGTATGCGCTATCAACACCTCTGTTATTTCTCCCTTCCGCATCAAACGTTTCTAACACGCCCTGTAGATGTCTGACAATACCAATGAACAAGGTCACGTCACCCATGCTTGTCCTCCTCAAGCTTGCTGCCCCTTGTTTTGTATACGGTCGATGCGATGCCTACCGGCGTTGTCCTCAGCACAGGCCCTCCTGGCCAGCCACTGTTTTGTCGGGCGAAAGCTCGCGGCCCCCTCCTCTGGCCTCTCGCCCACTTTCGCGGAGTCCGGACGCCCCAGCGGGTCCCTATTGTGCGTGTTCGTATACACACGGCGCACACACGCACATCGCGGTGTCCATTCGCGGAGCTCTCGTTAATTGTACGCACGGCCGGCGCGCGCCATGCATCGCGGAGCAGCAGGCTTATGCGCGCCCGAGGGACTTGGCCACAGTGGAGGCGGCGGCGACACCTTTAGCCCGCGCTGACCTCTCGGCGCGAGCGAGCCGACCCCAATGCGCCTTTGCCCTATTGTTCGTCACCAGTGACACGTCCAGGTTGCCGCTCCCAAGACGTATATCGAGCAGCGAAGTTATATATAAAGCGGACTGTGCTTGGCGGCCTATTGCACATTCATGAACGGGTACTGATTCGGCGCGTCCCCACCACCGCTGTCCGTGCCAGTGCACCCCCCAACCTCATTCGTGTCGCGAGCCTCTCCGTGCATCGACGAGTCATGTGAATATCGGCCCGTCCTTGGATGCCGCTGGACGACGACGAGAAGACTCGATGGCTCCCTTCTGGCTACCGGTGAGCTTCCATGCAATTCACTCCTCATCAATTTGAACATTTTGGTGGGTGTTGTGGGTGTCTTCAAAGTTTTGTCAATCTGACGCCATAAGAATCGACTCTGCTTTCCGAAGCATACAATGTGGCTGACCGTTGCGTTCCATTCAAACACAACTGGATGGCACAGATCGGCCAGTGCGCATTTCTTTCTTTTCTTTCTCTCTTTTTTTCTTTCTTTCTTTCTTTCTTTATTTATTTATTTATTTATTTATTTATTGTTTTCCTTTCGTTCTTTCATTGTTTTTCAAGCAATTTCTCCGCGATATGCGTCCGCGACACCAAAAAGAAACTCGCTCTTTCTGTTCCGGCGTGGGAGTGGCCCGCAACGTATACCATAGAGTGCGTTCCGAAGGACCCTAATGAAGTTTTTCTATCCGTACATTCATCCGGCCCTCATCGCATTTTGTCATGCTGCAGGCCCATGGCATGAAGTGTTACAAATATTTCTTACAGCTACAGCAGCTCCTGTGTAAGACCCTAAAACAGATACCTGAACCAACAGCACCAGGGGGCTAGCTTCTATGATGTTCCTTAGTTCACCAGGACTATATTGATGAAACTCATAGGTTGACTAATTAACCAGTTTCATTATCCTAACATATCCACATAATTATATACGTATAAAATCAGATTATTGCTCTATTCTAAGAATAAATTCCTTTATGTATATATTTGTATGCATTACATTAAGTACCACACTTTCCTAGGCAATCGGTAATCTTTCTGTTATACCTCCATCATTCCAAATCTGAACAGAAATTTTTAAAGCCACTCGGTTCTTGGACAATCCCCCATAGTGGGTATGCGCCACTATCAATGGATGAAGAACAACAACTACCATATGATCTTTGAGCGATTGCAAAAAGACTTTACGCGTGGAAGAGTATCTGGTGTGACATAAATGAAAGAAAGATTAAAACGAAAATGAGAAAGGGTTTGCAATTCTCAAGAAGTAATTTGAAATAAAAACACAAGTATAGCAATGGTACTGTTCTTGAACTGATTCGCATATGCTCACGACTTCTTTCCTTCGACCTGCGATCCTACTTAGGGTCTACTTTATTATTGATTCGCGCACCTTTCCTGCATGATTGTCAATATGTAGTATATAGTACACTGAAGCTTTTCAGCTTGACCGTTTGTTGACAATAACAAAACACTTCATGAGGTGACGATTGTACTAATTACTTCTGGAAAGAAGGATAAAACAGAACCAAACATCTTTTTTTCTAAAGTCTGGCATTTAAAGAAAAAAAAAAAGAAAGGTGTTTGTTTCTGTGGGGGTGTATTATGCCTCATCGTCACTGCAAGTATTATCTTACTTTAGTGTTGGGTATAAAACGGCATGAATGTCAGAAAAAATTCATCTGATTATTTGCCCTTGAAGATTTTTTTCCACGAGCCATTATACTTTCTTTTACCCAACACAAAGATAAGTGACACAAACAAGAGGCTAAAGGCAGACTACTCGTATGTGTAAGAAAAACCGCAAGTGGGCGACAAATAAATTTCACAATATATACTTGGGGACGCTTTTTTGTAAATGGAAGAGATACAGCTTAACGATACCGATAACACATGTGATTGGAGGTCTTCTAACTACAGACAGTTTTGGCAAATGGTCATCTCCTGCTGCACTCACATT